CATTGGTGTCATTGTCTAAGCAACTAAATTACTGATTCTATCTGTATTTTAATGCTTTTGTTTGGTATGATATTTCTACCATGTACCATTATTGATCATAGTGATAATCCGCGGGGATTTTTGCCAGATTTCCGTTCGGATTTTCACGCCTAATCATCCATCTACATTATAGTCTAGCAGATCGCATCCCAACTTTCAAGGTTGTCCATAAGTAGTTGAGCATTGTCATTATTGAGACTTAGGTCTTCGCTAACACATAAAAGACGTTTAGTTAAGCAATACAGACATAGCATGAGGATATAACCTTTAGTACCTTTTGGAGGAGTCTTGGTGGACTTCTCGCTATATTGAATAGCATTGTTTGGTTGGTCAACCATGGGGAGCGATATTTGTCCGCAGTCGGTTGTCGCGGTATCAGTCGCAGTTTTAGTTAAACATTGCTAGACATACCAAAGGGCTAAAAAACGTAAAGTGGAGACCTTGCTATTTAATTTTCTTTTCAGATGAACGTGACGGTATCCAGAAAAAGACATTCACAAAATGGGTAAACAAGCATCTGGCCAAGGTAATTTTTTATTTGTTGTTCTCATTATTGAAGATCATAATTGACGTTTTGAAATTGTTTGCTTGTTTTACTTGTATATCTCGTCTATCCATCTTCGCTCTTCCTATCTTTGGTTTTGATCGCTCGTCGACCTCGCGTTCTGACCGCTTGAATACTTTTTCCATATATGAAAACTTCGACGGCTAATACTTAAGTGCTGTAAATTTGATATTAAAGGGGACCAATATTCGCCGCAAACGTTTGCCACCATTTCCAAACAAACAGACGAATTTTGTGGCTGCCCTGAATACACGATTTTTTGAGATCTATCAATTGATGGTAGAGCGTACTGTACATAGGATATTTGGCATTCTAAAAAATTTCTCGTTTCCCATATGATTGCTGTTTCCGTTGTGAACTTTTAGAATTTGAAGAGTGAATAAAGAACAAAGTTCACTAGTGATATCCCCTTTTTTTGTGGTTAATTGCATCAGCGGTCTACATATAA